ATCTCCCTTCCTCTTTCATCCTGTTGTCAAATCCACCAATGAGGCAACCTGTTTTTACGACCTCCAAATTAACTCCTTCACAAATTCTTCACCTATTCCTAGCCATACTCTACTCATTTAATCAATTAAATGGATTTTACAAATTGGCTCAACATTAGGAAAGACTTTTTAATAATGAGAGCTGTCTGAAAATGGAATGGGCTGCCTTGTGAGGCATCTAGAGGTGTTTGAACAAGGCCTAATGGGTAAAGATTGGCTAGGTGACCTCTGAGGGCCTATGCAATTCTACTCCAATGGTACATTATAAAAGAAACTGAGATAACATAGTAAAGTAGTACTTTACATGCCTTGGATAACATTCAGGACATTAGTATTATTATAACTACCAGGGCCTATGAGTAATAATGATAAAGGAGAGCAATGACAGTATTCCTAGAAGCAGAATTCAGTATGCCACAAGACTCTGAGAATGGAATATAGAGCTACCCTCCACTATGTAGTTATTTAAGCCCATCGTCACGAAAGGCATCTAAAATGTGGTCTCCCATTTTACCAGTCTCCTCCCTGGACTGTCTTAGGAATATGATGGGCATATGCCCCTTTGGCTATAGAAGCAAAGTCAAGTAAGAAGGGCAGAAATAACTATTAGTGAGGGCACGGTAATAAGGGGCAGGATAGGGACATGCACATGGGCAGAGAAAGGGACAGTAACGAATACTCTTTTTGACAGTTCATAACATTTCCCAAAGTTTCTCTGTAAGGATACAAGGGTATAGCATTCCAAATCCAGAAAAGGGCAGTACCCAAGGTGATTGTGGCATAAATGACTCCCTCAGGTACCTGCACCCATTTTGGGATTCCAGTGGTGGAAAATGTACCAGAATGACCTGTACAATATTCAGAAGGAAAAAAGGCATGGGGGTGGGGAGAAGAAAAGAAAAAGAGAGTCACAAATGGTATGATTAAGGTTTGAGGTAAGAAGAGTGGAGCCTGGTTTCAGCTGAAAACTGTCCTATCCTGTTACTTCATTCAGTAACAGTAACAGTCAGTGAGTAACAGTGAGTAATCAGGCATGCATGGAGAAAGAGGTACATCAAACAATTCCGACTTTCAGGAAGTCAACAAAATTACTTTCATTCAATGCAGGTGAGGTCCTATGGACCAAGGTAGCATGACAATTGACACTATCATATAATCTTTAAATTAGGCACAAAGAGAATCACAAATATGGATGGTCAATTCATCAAAAGGCCAATTTTCAACCTGAGTACATATTAACATCATTATGAAGCAAGTTGACTATTTATCTCCCAAATCATCTCTCAATTCTGACTCTTTCTTGAGAGCCAACAAGCTTGTATTTCTCCCATCCACCTTGCAATTTTAAAAAGTCCTCCCTGTGTAATTCTGGTTGCCTACTAAGTTAGTAATACCCAGATCAATTAAGATGTCCTTGCAACGACCCAAACTCTCACTGTAATGAATTAACCCAAATTCACTGAACAGTGATGAACAACAGGAAGCATGAGTCTAGCATTTAAGTCTTTCTAAACCAAAGCCCATGACAAGTGTTTCCATTATGAAGAGTCTCACCTCCTTCCAACCCCCTCTCTCCCACTCTCTGGGAGTCAGGCATAAGCTGGTACTTGCCAGGAGAGAGAAGATTATCTAAAATACAGAGGTGGATGCTTCAGTGAGTCACCATTTCAGCCTGCTAAAGCACCCCAACCTGCAGGTTCTTGATTTGCCTTGCCTATCTCGCCTGTCAGACACTAACAAAGCAGCCCTGAGCTTTGGTGTGAAATTGCAGTCCAGACCAACTGTTTGAAAAAGTATCGGATGTTCAGCACATCAATTACAGACAGACATCTAACCATAAGACCACTGCTCTTCGAATTACATCGAGCAAAACTGGGATCCCAACTTTCCAGAGCCTAGAAACATATGGTAGGTGAAAACACAGTATGAGAGAAGCAGAGGTAGCCATAGAAAACATATTTCCTATCTCATCCTGACTCTTCAGCTCTTTTTCTTCACAGGGCCCCATAGTATCACCTATCTTCACTGTCACCCAGTGACATCATTCTCTTTAGCAATATTCATTCATGGCTACTGACAATGATAAAACATAATCTTTTACATTTACATTTGCTTTATACTTTAATCTCATTTAATCTCCATAGCAAGCCTGGTGAGGTAAGGTAGAGCTGATATTTTCCCCTATTTTCGTGATGAGGCAGGGGGAGAGGAGAGAAATGGGAAGAGGGAAGAAGGGGGTGGAAGAGGGCCTGGGAGAAAAGGAGAGAAGACCACAGGCAAGGTGAGGAGGTGAGGCAGGGAGGGGGAGAGATTAAGTTACTTGTTCAAGGTTATACAGAGAACAATTATTACAACTGGAATAAGAAGATAGGTCTCCTGATCCATGATGGGCCAGAGTTTTTCCAATGCTATCCATTGTTAATTTGGTTTTGATTTTAAATTTGGTATTCTGTTAACAACACAACATTTATGCCACAGGTTTTGTACCAAGTTGAGAAGAAGGGATTTAAAAATTGGAGCTTTGAGCCTCTAACATTAAGCTGATATTCTTTCCTCCTCAATCCCCCTCTATTTGATTCCTTTATTGCTTGGTTTGGGGCCAGGGCTAGCTATAGTTGGGAAGTTTGGCTATGCTAATTCTGAGCACAGAGAGAGAGGTACCTGTTTTAGCTATCTCTGTTTCAAGCTCGAAGTATTGTGGTACTGGGGAAAGAGGACTGACTCCAGAGTCAGAGGACCTAGGGCAAAGTCACTTAACCTCCCTAGGCCCAAGTTTTCTAATCTTTAAAGTAAGGGGTTTGGACTAGATGGCCTTCCAGCTCCAGATTTAGGAACCTAGGTAGATGTGACCTCTCTGAGCCTCAGTTTACCTCATTTGCAAAATGAGCAGGTTGCACTAGATGGTCTCCAATGTTCCTTCAAGCTCTAGACGTAGGATCCTATGGTCTTTGGTACAAGGGATATGTGGCAAAAATGAGTGCTGGGTACAGAAAATGAATGGTGAGAGGGCAGGAACTTCTTAATCTCCAAAGGCCACAAATTATTTAGTCCATCCCTCCATTCAGACACAACTGGTGACCAAATATTCTCATATAACTGATGCTTATCCAGTTAGTTCCAGGAGAGATAATCCTTTCAACTTAGTAACCGGTAGTTTTATTGAAAACATATAAAATCTGATCATATAAACTTAAGTCTAAAACTGCAAAGATTTCTAAATAACCTCAAATCTGACGTTCTTTCTAAGGCCGCATGCTAACAGTTTTACATCCCTATTTTTTTTTAAGGCAATTGGGGTTAAGTGACTTGCCCAGGGTCACACAGCTAGTAAGTGTTAACTGTTTGGTCTGAGACTGGATTTGAACTCAGGTCCTCCCGACTTCAGGGCTGGTGTTCTTAAGAACTTGAAGGCTAAAAATTTCAACTCTGACCTTGACAGAAATGACCTCATAGCTCTGAGACATTATGCAAGTCACAACCTCTCAATTTCCTCAACTGAGAAATAAGGTGGTTGAAGTAAATGATCTCTAAGGTCCCTTTAAAATTAAGATTCTAAAAATGTTGAACTCAAAAATCTTATGGAAGTGAATGTTGAAACTAAAAAATAAATTAAGTTTAAAAATAATAAAATTAAGATTCTATCTAGGTCTCTATTTGCTGGTAGATTAGCCACTAGGAATAATGGTCAGTACCAATCTCAGGACCAAAGAGGATCCTCTGGATGAATATCTTCTCAGCATACTTTTCATGTTTCCCTGGATACGGACTTTCCTGGCTAAATCAATCTGAGGTACTACATGATACCTTGACCCACTAAATGCTGAAGAAGACATATTAAAACTTTAACAAATAAATGTGGCAACCATCTCACTCTCTTGTTCTGTATTACAGGGAAGTCTGAAGGGGACCTGTCCTCTAACAAGATCCATTATGGCTACCTGCTGGCCTATATAAATGTCCCCTCTAATGTCGCACAAACTCACCAAGAGAGGTAGACAGCTGATCAAATCATACTGTTCTGTTTTAAGCTGGGGCATCTCAGAAGAATATAAGATGCATTATAGCAAGGGTCAGATATCCTTAGCCTTGAAGCCTCAACTGGAAAGCAAGGAATGGTGAGGTACTGGCAGAGAAATCAGGGAAAAGAGTAAAGGAAAGAGGAAGAGGTAGAGAGAAAGAAGCATGGAGAAAAGGATGATAGGCATAGTAGTTTGGGAGTGATAGAGGAAGAACCCACAATAATCACCTCTCATGTTCCCTCTGTGGTCCCTTTGTGTCAAGATTCAGTTCTGCACTTAGATGTTCAACTGAGGAGGGCCTTTGTGATTTAACCAACCTATCCTAAAAGTTGTGATGTAGTAAGACACCACTGGATTTGAAGTCAGAAAGATGTGGGTTCCAATCTTGCCTCAGACACATATGACTAGCGGTATATCTCTGGGCAAGGTGTGCAATATTTCTGAGCCATGGTTTCCTCATCTGTAGAATAAGGGGTTTGGATTCAATGATTTCTAAGGATTCTTTCAGTTTGAGATCTATGACTATGACTCTATTATCCCTGAGCAGCCAAGTTCAGGAGGGAGCCTGGGTCGCACCTCTAAACCGGCTAAGAGCCTCTCATTCTTTTATCAGAGCCTGGTTACAAAGAAGCTTCTCAGTTCTGTTTCAGACTTCACCTCATTTGGCGTGGACACTTGACCCTTCCTGTCCCTGTAAGTGCTGATGTCAGCAATGCTCAGCAGAACATGACAACAGGAAACACCAGACCCCATAAGCCTTCTGATCCTGAGCCAATTCAAGATTGCCCTCTAGTCCTAGCCACGCATCCCATTTAGACCAGAGAGAGCCTTCTTGGAGGAGCTGCCCTGTCTGCAGGGACAATTCTTAAGTCATATCTGATATTGAATGCTGATAGGGAGCCACCTTTTAAAATCCCAACCAGATTTCTCTTGCCTTTCAGCTACAAGACAGGAATGTCTATAGCTCCTGGGGCATTAAAAGCACTTCCCTTCTCATGGGCATGAAGTACTTAAATCACCCTTAATGGTGAAGCTACTGGGATGTACCATTTAAGGAAGTATCATATGGCTCTGCCTCTTCATAATATCCCTCTGGAGACTCGATCTTTGGGACTGGGAGCTGTTTCCTTTCTGGAATCTGTGGAATGAACAAATAAAACAAACATTGTTTTTTTCAAATAAAGATACAGGAGAAAAAACTCAGAATTAACTCTTTCAGTGGAAGGATGAAAGGAGTTCTTGGAAAAATTTTCTAAAAGAAAAATGTTATATGGTTTTGGAATCAGTTAATTTCAACCAGATAGGGAAACCAGTTAGGTTTATGAGCAAGGGGTTGGGAAGCAATGTGAAAAAAAAATCCTTAGTGTTTAAAGCTGAATACCTTAGAGAACATCTGACCCTCCCCCCCTTTCAGATGAAGAAACTGAGGCTTCCAGAGGCTAAATGGCAGGCTCCATGGTCACTGAGAGCTAGAACTTTAACGCAGGTCCTCCAGCCCTATAAAAATATTAGCTATTATTATTACTTACTGGGATGTTGTAAGATGTACCAGGAAAGAAAGAAGGGTCAACTAGTCAATAAATGTTTAGCAATCAACTAACCATGTCTAGCATCTTCACAAATGCTTATCAGATTGTAAATGTTTTAACATTTTAGATGATCTATAAACATACCTTTACAATGATTTCTTAAATTTAAAAAATCCATGGGAGATATTGAGGTACCATTTATTAAGTTGTCTTTGGTCTTCTTTGGGAACGAAGGATGAAGAACAGAAACGACAAATTTGTCAAGTTATGAATTTCACAATAAAGAGATCTAGAGCACTGTTTCGTTATACTTGGGGGTTTTTAAATACTGTATGTGTTTGACTTTCAACATACAAGAGATGGTTGTGGTCTTTGAGAGAGCTGCCTAAGACCAACCATTCCTTCAATCTAGCTTAAGTATTCTTCATGCTTTAGGAAATGGAGATTTGTAAGGAAAAAATGGAAAGGAGGCCCCCCTAGGGGGCTAGACACTAAGTTCTTTCAGAAACTTCGGTTAATTATTCTCATCAACCACCTTTTTCTTCCTTTCTCCAACATTACAGGTGAATGCTTTAAAAAAAAAAAAAGGAGTGTGTTGTAATGTATATAATGTAATGTTGTAATGTACTAAAGGACATCGATCCTGGAATTAGAAAATCCAGGTTTCAAATTCAAAATCCAAAGTTCAAAGCTCTGACACTTACTAGCAAGAGTCTACTATTAACCGTTTTGAAACTCAGCTTCGTTATCTGTAAAATGGGGATAATGATAGTGTATTTATCTACCTTAAAAGGATTTGTGTGGTAATGGGTCTGTAAACCTTAAAGTACTATGAAAAGTTCATTATTATCATAAAGGCCAGCAGCCCAGCAACTCACTATGGCTTTGCCCCATAGATGTAGGTAACATACACAACTATAGCTTTATAAAACTATATCTCAATATCTATTCTAACAATACAATAACTATATCTCTGTGGCGATGCCCTAGGGCGTGCTAACTTTTAGGGACATTTTACTGGAGAATTATACTCAGTTGGAGCAGAAGATTCTGAATCAGGACTTTTATCCTATCCTACATACAGTATCTTTCCTGGGCAAATCCTAGTACAGATCCACCTATGATTACCCAGGAGCCTATCCCAGCCCAAAGTCCTTGTAGGCTGAATTGTTGGTGTGACTTTCTGGGAAAGGGGTGCAGTGGGGAGGAATGATGGGCAGGTGGTGTAAGAGGCATCTGATTGTCTTCTTATGAACTAGGGCACACTAGAAGTACTTCCTCTTTCTAACAGGGACTCTCAGTTCAACACAATCAAAACAGTATTGTCAGTAGGTCAAGCAAAGCTGAAAGCCAACCCTAGGAAGCATACCGGATATCTTTTAAGTTGATAGGAGTACAAATCAAGGAAGCAGATAAATGTCACTAAAGTCTTTGAAAAGATTCCAGAACCTGGGAAACGTCCCAGCGTGATTTCTAAGACTTTTCTTAGAAATTCAAGCTTCCAGGCATGTGTGCTCACAAAGACATACATGAACATATTACTTGACCTCTTGGCAATAACCCAAGGTTGCAAAAGTGGGGAAAATGGCCATCTTCCAGACTGGCTAAGTTATGCATAAACCTGCCAAACTAAGGAAGCAAAAGGTAGAGGGGTCAGAAAATAGGGGGCTGCCTCCACTAGACAGCAGATGTCTACAAATCTAATTCTTTTGTGAGGGCAGAGACCACCTCTTATACATCTTTTTATCCTCCACAGTTCCTATCAGAGGGTCTTGAATACAATGGGAACTCAATACCTGATGTCAAAGCTTGGAAGCATAAAAACCATAGTGAATATACTGATGTATCCAAAACTTTGCCTCAGGAGATGGTTTGATTTTGCTTAACTCATCCATTCTTGGATCACACAGAACACACAATATCGAAGGGACTAGTGATATATAGAACCAATAGCCCAGGATTTCCCCAAGGATGTGGCCAAATCTTTTTTTTTTTTTTGGTGGAAGGACACAAAGGGCTGACAATAGGATAATTCAATTCAACTCAATAAACATCTATTAAGTTCCTACTATGTATTGGGTACTGTGCTAGGGATACAAAGACAAAAATTGAAACAGTTTTGCCCTTGAGGAAACATTCTACTAGGTGGAAATAATATGAATACAGAAAAATAAATACTATATATATATATATATATATATATATATATATATATACACACACATACACACACACACACATATATATACACACACATATACATATATATATACATACATATATATCTATATAACACTCCCTCCATGGCTACTTCATCAACTTCCACTAAAGGTGGATTACTCTGACTCCTCTCAGAGTTCTAGGAGCAACGCTGAGGGTCATTGGGGTTTTAGTATTCTTGCTCATAAGCCCTCACAGATGAGCTTCCCAATAATTATCAGTTAGATTCAATAAACTTTTTAGAAAAGGGGATTTATTAAATGGATATGCAAGGGCAGTTGTTAGAGAAACAATCCCCTATGCTCTTGCCCACACAAGTTCCCTGGAAAGAATAGATTCAAATATATCAAAATGGTATCAGAAGATCCGCTTTATTGTGTGGTAGAGGCAACATAGCTTCTGCTTTCTCCATTGATTGACTCAATCTAGCTCTCTGAGCCTTCTTCCTTTATATACATACATACACACACACACACACACACACACACATACATACACACATACACATATATACACATACATGTATAAAGTAATTTTGGGAGTTGGGAAGGATCACTAGCACTAACTACTAGAATTATCAGGAAAGGCTTCATTTTAGGAGATCTGCCCTTGAGCAGATTGGAAGCTCGAGATTGGAAGACGTCAAGTTGAGAAAGGAGAGCATTATAGGCATGGGGGTCAGCCTGGGCAAAGTTCATGTAAGCAATAGGAGAGGTCCATTCATTTTATGAATAAGGTAGTCCTGGATCTCTAAATTCTTTCAAATGAAGCCAGATCAGGCTTGATTGGATGGGAAGGCTGGAACCTTTTGGATGAAAACTTTTCTATTATCTAGTAGGTGATGACGTTTCTTTGAAAATACCCAGACATCTGGGATTTGGATTCAGATGCAGATTCTCATAATCTTAGTGTGAAAACGCCCTGTTCTCTAGTGTAAGAAAGCTAAATTTCTGTGCTTAGGCCCTGTTCGAATAAAGTTTTTTTTTCCCTCAAGTGTAATAAAAACATACACTCTAAGAGCTCTGACCCAGCAGTGAGGGTGCACCAATTCCTTACTTTTGCAACACAACCACAATGTGTATTAAAGTACAGGAAGTTCAAGAAGTCAGTATTGTGAGACATGTCTTTGGATTGGGGGTGGAGAGAGGAGGAAGGGTCAGTGAGTAGGTCATGGCTAAATTATTCAGATGTATCAATAGACAAGTTGTGTGAAACTCTCCCAATTAAGTTAACTCATTTAGGACTAGGCCTTTTATCTCTTCATTTCCAGAGAAGATGGAGGAGTGTAAAGCAGAGAAATCTGATGGCAATCAGCTTGAGAACATCTGTTTCTCCCGAGGCAGTCAGAGCAGCTGGCTGCTTTGGAGTCAGGGATGGCATTCACACAGTCACATCAGAGCCCTACTCTTATCTTTTCTAGGGGCACATTTTCATTCACTCCTGTGAGGACCATCAACAATCAGGAGTGTAACTAGAGGAATTTGTTTCAAGAAGGGTACCCAGAATAGAGGGATAAGTTGCAGTGAAATGGAAGTAGCTTCTGGGGATGAGAATATGGAGACCCTCCTCCCCTCTCCCCGACAGGAAGGGGGAGGGAGGTGGCATGAGGCTAAAATATGAAGTTTGAGGGGTAGGAGGAAGAGCTTTGGAATTCTGAGAGGGAAGAATTTTTTTTTTGCTGGAAGCAGAGAAAGAGAACAGAAGGGATTGTCCAAGGCCGTGGTCAGTGGGGTAATCCAGGCAATTCCTGAACTGGGGAGCTAGAGGAAAAAAATACTTTTCTAGACCCTGACATCATAAAAGTCATGGAAACAGAGTTGGGAGAAACCTTAGGAGTCATCTGCTTCAGTGGTGTCAAACTCAAATAGAAATGGGGGCCATTTATGTATGGAAGTACGTAGGGATCTCTGTAGATTGCATATTGACTTAGTTTTAAAATGATGTATGTGTGTGTATATGTATGTATGTATGTGTACATTACACACACACACACACACACACACACACAGTATTTTTTATTTATTTCCCAATTACATTTTAATCCAGTTTGGGCTGCGCTCTGGAGAGCTGCAGGCATTCAGTCAGTGTGTTTGACACCTCTGATCTGCTCTAATGCCTACCTAAAACAGGAGTCACTTACATAAAATCCCAGATTAGCAGTTATCTAGTCTTTATCTGACTATTTCTGGTACCCTCTGAGGTAGCCAGTTACATTTTTAGGCAGCCCAGTTACAAAATCATTCCCTTCAGTGTGACCCTGCCTGGGCAAGTCACTTTACCTTTACTCTATGACTTTGGGTAAGTACTTAACTTCTATCTGCCTAGGTTTCTTCAGTGGTAAAATGTGATAATAATAGTACCAACTCCAAGAATGGTTATGAAGATCAAA